AGCCGAAAAGAAAGTAAACCGAAGTTCAATTTGTGATAGAAATAGCCGGGCGTCCGAATTGTGCCGTAAGCACGAATAGAGCATGTTATAAGAGCAATTCAACTTAAAATACCAACATGCCACCAGTATTGCCAAGCCAATATTCTCTTGCCGCATATACAACAATTAAAGAAATTATTTATCAATACATGCGACGATTTCCGGTTCTTTTGTCTACCCAGAGACACTGTTAGTTAACCCATCAGCCCGCTGTGTACATGGGTCAACTAATCAATGACCTCCATCTTCAAAATCCACAGCATGGTACAGACGGCTATTTCCGGCACAATCATACTGTACCAGAGACAGAGCCCCATAACCCCGCCAGAATTTATACCATACTACATAGGCAGGGGAATGTTCGGTATGGGTGGTGTCACGTGCTTATACTACGGCTTTGCTGTGCTGCCAATAGCTGATGCCACTGCGCTGTACTACACGCTGCCCATCCCCACGGCCATTTTCGCATGGGTATGTATGTTGTTGGTTTGTCTACCTAGTATCCACCTCGATATGCGCTGTGATATGCTGTTCAATGGGTCTCAACGTTACTGACTATAGTGTTGTGACCGTCAGATGCGATTTATTTTGCATTTTATCGGCCGCCCTCAGCCGTTTCCATGTACCACTTTGTGACTTATTAGTCAGTTTTGCGTGTGTTTTAAATCAGCATGTATACAGTTCACCCCATCCTCTAAGACGCTAGTTTCAGTCACCTTGCCTACCTACAATTGTTGAGTCACAGGCATGACTTACGTAGCGTTTGACCTGAATTAAACAGCACCACAGCCGCTTTTCACCTCGTGCAATTTGTTCCCGCAAAACCGTATATATTCACTTATACAATGCCAATCACAAGTAAGCTTCTGAATTAAGTCCACCATGTACAAAATCATCGCAAATAGTCCTCCTCATGCACCATAAATCGGCGGAACTCAAAGTCTCACAGAGGTGATAGCACTGCTCATAGTATTTTAGGTAACTGAGAGTTTACATACATGCTCACGAATATGCTTTACTGTTTGCGGTTCCCTATATTTCATCACTGCTCTCTTGGTAAATCTTTTGTTCGCACAGACGTGATAGCTGCGCTCACGGCACTCTTTCTCTAGTTCAAATTAAACGTGTATATCCACGAATATATCCTTCTGTTTGTGGTTATCTATGTTTCATCAGTGCTTTCTTCGCGAATCATATAGACCTACAGACCTTTTAACTTAGCTCACGGGAAATGCCTGATGAAGGTCTACCTAAACACAATATAACTTTCTCTTGTGCTTTCTCGGCGAATCACACGGTGCTACAGGCGCTCAAACTATAGTCCTGAGATTTTCTCTATCTTTCTAAGCATACGTATTCAAACTGTAACTTCTCACGGTTTTCCATCATATATCGTGCAGGTCTTTCTTGGCGAATCCTACGGTGGTGTTGAAGTACTAGCTGCGATGACTGGACTTCTGGGCGTATTTTGTATCACGAGACCGCCGTTCCTCTGGCCCTTCCCAAGCCCATCGCACCACGATCCGACACTAGACGTGCTGCCTGAGGATCACTCGCCCGCAGAGGTTAACTTGGGCTACGTAGCGTGTTTGTGTGGCGCATTGCTGACATCTATGGCGTTCATTACCATAAGGTGAGGCTGAGAGATATGAGAGTGGTTGAGTGCTTTGTTCCTTTATGTCGTAATTTTCCGTCAGTGCGCTGTACTCGCCTTGGTGTCTATTGATGTAAGAAGTGGCCTCCTTTTGAAAGTACTTGCCCTTTGCTTGCCTTTCCTCCTATAGTATAATCTAGATGATATTGTCGCTGTTTACTTCTCGATGGCTGGTGTACTTTCCCACTCGAATGCAAGCATTGCTAGTGGTCCTGAGGTGTACATGTCTTTTTATCGTTATCTTTGAGAGTTCCTTCTGAACATCGGTTTCACCGATACTTAAATGAACTAAAAAATGTACCCGATGTTGCTATGTTTCTCTACGTTGCAGTCATGTTCAGTTTTAGTGATTGTATATGGCAAACGGAGCCGACCACAACCTACAAACTTGCAGTTATCATACCTGCGCTCGACGAACGCTCTCAATCCATAAGTGATGTGCGGCACTCGTTGGTGCAGCATCGACACTTGTGTAGTCATCTGCATAATCTCTGTTGTTAAGCACACACCTATTGAAAATGCCTAGCATGTTATTGTCTGTGTCCAGCGTGTGGTGTTTCACCGGTGTTTACCCTCCAGCAGCGAAAGATATTTATTCAAATAGGGACCCTTTGGTATACTCGCGTAATGCGGCATGGGATCCATATTCTGGCATGTTGTATGTGTATCCGGCCTATAGCTCGTGCTATCAGCGGTGCTACGGCAATTAGTTATGCTCGATGTTCCCTAATTGTTCCCCAGGTGCGTAGGCACGCGTTTCAAGACTTGGGTTGTGCCATTCAAAAACGGCGTGTCGTATTAAAGCTAGCGCAGTGACAACTGGATATGTATCTCCCAATGTCACCCCTTTCTACTGACATGTAGATAGAACAATACGTATTAACCATTTTGAACTCCTTTTACAGACGCGTGGGTAAGCGTACTACAGCATGGGTGCTTACATTCTGGCATGGGGTGTCTGGTGTCGGTGTGTGTGGCGTGTTAATGGTGGTCTTACAGCAGCTGAAGATGCCTGATTCTTGGGAACACTTGGCATTGCTAGCGAGCGTGGGAGTGTTCGCGTTGCTTGTGCAGGTGCTGGTCAACAAGGGCTTACAGGTGCGTTACTTCGAGCAATGCAGCACGGTGTGTATTTGCTAACACATCCTAACTATGTTTAAGATTGGATCGATGGATGCTGTTCCTTGTGTGACCCGTGAGATAGAGTCCCTTGACGTCTGCACAAATATTGCTATCCCCCCAATGTGTGCCCTACCGAAAAAGTTAGTGTATCGATTGTAATTTCACTATACCCATTTATCACTCGCGTCTAAACTCTGCATTGACATTTTTGTTATTATATCAGCTCGAAGCTGCAGGCCCGGGTGCGCTGATGACGAACCTACAACTAGTTTGGGCCTATCTGCTGCAGGTAGGTGGCACGCACTGCGTTCTGTATGCAGTATTGAATACTTACACACTTATGTGGACGTTTTGTTTGTATATGAATGTGTATGGAGCCATGTGTATGTGAATATATGGATACATGGTTTCGAGTCTTTCAGTGCTAAATTTAAGAAATATTTAAACGACCGTCTACAGTCACACTAACACCTGTTTGAACGTCTACGAATCCTGTGTCTGCCGACAGGTCACATTCCAGCACAAACCGATCATTGGCTGGTGCGTTTTCGGGGCTGTGCTGATAGTCAGTGCGACAGCTGGCACCTTTTTGTACAACTCGTACCGGGTATGTCCAGTCAATTATATGAGCAATTTCAAGAATGAAGACACTTCTTAAGATGTTTACATCTAAGACGTGTGTACAGCGTATTGAGAGCAGCATGTTGCCGTGATGGAGTGAGTGTCCAATTATTATTAATATTCCTCAAAACTGCCAATTATGTTTTTTGAGCTCTAATTGATTTTGGTGCGTAGTAACATTAGAAAATTCTCTCGCTTGATTGCAGGACAAGCACGTTCAATCAGATAGATCCGCGTTGAAACGGACTAAGTCGGCTGAAATGTCTGTGCTCTCGATAGAAGCACCCCAACAGGGAGATGACGAATATCAACAAATATAGTTTAAATAAAGTAACTATGATAATGTTTACGGTATCCGACAAGCGCTGGCAATCCCGTCGCAGCAGTCTGAGCCTGATTGGCACTAGCTCTCGATTTAAAAGTTAGCCATGTCACTTTCTTAGCCCGGCAACAGACGCATAACCCCTTGTAATCAGTTGATGCGAATAACAAGGAATGCGATATTGTGTACGATAATTTGCGCACCGCACATCGGCTAAGTTTGTATGGGATAGGTCGCTATTTGCTGCTTGAAAATGTATCGCGCAGAAACGGTGCGGAAGTTTGAAGGCGAAAGTGAGACATCACACACACAACATATATAGCTCGAGGTTCTGAACTGTGAAATGTCAAAGAGCAGAATAAAATAATATCCCAGGGCATACGAGAAACTATAAAATCAATGGCTCCCGATCCACACAATCAGAGACATTTAGAGCTCTTCAGGGACCTTGGAACACGATTGAATTAGAAAGTTGAGTCATATTACCGACTTCGATCAGGCAGCTTTACGCAACTCTGTCTCGAGGACTAGAGGATATTTGCAACCGTTGTAGTGAGGACCATGATAAGCACAGCTGTATACGTTCACGAAAGAAGTAGAAGTATGGTTTTTTATCATCCTATCTCTAAGACAACCGTTTTATATTTCCACAACTACGCTTTCTGGATTTTGGTCGGTTTAGAGCCATCATCAGATTGCTTGCGCTTTGTGCTCGAAATCCGTTCCGAATTTGGCTCTCCCACACTATTTGCGTCTGCGTTTTCGGCTTCCTCCGTCGGTGCATGCGGTGTACCCGTAGGCCTGCCTGAGCTACTTGCATTCCCAGCCCCTAAATTGACCTCTGTATTTTCTGATGGCGGCCCGTTTATGGGCCCACTCTCTGGTGTCGTATTCAGTGGTTGGCCAGCCCTTGGCTCACTCTCTAGCGGTGGTTGTACCATCGGCTCATTAGTTCGCGACACCTTTTCTCTGGTCTCGCTCCCAGGCGCGGTTGACTTGTCCAGGAGTTCTGCGAAGTGCGTGGCATCCACCACCGAGCTCGCCAGGCCGGCTACCTCAGACTCGCTGTTGTTGAAGAACACAAATGCCTCGTGGGTGGCATCTCTATCACAGTACTCTTGTATCGGGCGCACCCACGGTTGTAAGCCTTCCTGGCCGTAGTCTCCCATGTACATGGTAAGCGCTCCGTGTAAGCGGATGTATAGGAAGCCTGCGTTGGTATCTACCACAGGGACGTTGCCTGTTATCGGACTGTGGCCGGACACCAGAGCCCATCTTGCCTCTCGTAATATACTGCATGTGCAATGAGGCAATACATAGAGTGAAATGATCAACCAGGATCGAAGATGGCGGGAACACTGGCATTGATACCCGAACTTGGACACAGAATTGGACATTAAGAGGATGTAAAAGTCATAAAAAGGCTGTGCGGGTATAGAATTTGCCAGATAGGATAGCCTAGTAAATAGGCAGCAGATACCACAAACAATATAACATATACAGTTGTAAACATTTTGACCGGAAGGATGGTCGATTTGTCATGGACCAAATGGATTTTGCTATCACAATATAACCCGCTATACCTGTACGTCTCTTCGTTGAACCAGGTGCGGTGCCGAAATTCGACCGCTACCTTCACATTGGCGGGTACCTTTGTAGCGAACAGCCTGAGCCGACTGGTGTTCTCCTCAGTACATACGAAGGTCGAAGGCAGCTGAACTAGTCCAACGCTGCACGCACACCGAGATTTTATCACAGCGAACGGATTTAGGTAACTCCTTCAGTGCCACAAACAATTCAAGATTTGACAATATGCTACGGTGATAGTATCAGAATCTGGCTGGTATGCATCCGAGTCAATGACAAGGGGATACTGTTAATTACAACAGGCCAGTGTGAGTCTCTTAGAAATTCACCATCAGTTGCTATAACTGGCGGACGCAATCACAAACACCACGCACACTAAGTGATAAACTGCGAAGTGTTTAAATGTCATAGCTATGTATTGATACATCTTCTGAACCCCCCCCCTCCCCAAATCATTAGATCAAACAGCTATGTACTGGTTAATCTCCTGAAAGCGACGAGCTTGGGTGTGAGTGATACTGCAAATGTATTTCGCATCGCCGATACACATGGAAGATCGCTCGTTACACATGCAGCATACCTAAACGTGTCGCCGAGTATTGAGCACCTTTCGAGAAAGAAATGTTGTACATGGGCCTCTGAAATGCAAGGATAGAGAGAGGAACACTTCAGTGGGTTAGTTGTGTGTCTTTCTCAGGCCTTATCTCGATTGAGGCAGCCAATAAGTCATACTTAGATGATACAACGATAGGGTATCCGTTTGTGTATGGTCAGGGCTTCACATCAAGCGCAGCTTTCGAATGAAAAGAGCATCTGTGCATGAACTTATACACAAACTCACATGCTTCCGTCTATTAACGTAAAATACGCCACATGTATTTGCATTCGAATTGCGCATACTGTTACGTGTGGGACTTGCCTCTACTATACATAGTCGTCCTAGCTACCTTGCAACTGCCACCGCCCAATTAATGACCGCTTAAATGTCGTCATATCGAAATGCTCCTGAAGACCGGGCTATAAGTCTGGTTGCGTCGTACACTTAGCAACGATACGGTGCGTTCAATGTATTTGTTGCGACTATTGTTGTTTGCATGTAAAATACACACTGTGTTTGCAATCCGAATCGCAATACTCAGTTCAAACGTGACATGCCCAAGCATCACAACTTTTCATTATTTTCGAGGTTGCTATACCTGATTCGAGGTCCATCTTCAGATTGCGCTTGTGTGTGAGGTAGTTGTTGGCCTTGATGGTGTATGTAAACCCCTTCTTCTTACGCGCTAGCTTCTTCCATTTCTGCCAATTCTCAGCATCCCCAACGCCGTGGTATGTCGTACAATGCTCGAGCGTGATAAATTTTCTTTGATACTGTAGAGGGAGGATTATTACAATGGTGCCGAAGACTAGATAAGATTTAGATCAATTGGTAAACAGCTATTGGAGTTGGTTTGTGGTAGCATTATATTCGACGTACTACTACTACAACTCCTGGGTAGATATCTCACAATAGATTTTGAAGCGGACGACGACATCCTATCTGATGCTAGGCTAAAACTTATACCATCCATGCATGCAAAGGTTTTGTTTCTGGATATTGTACTTGATAACATGTGGGACGAAGAAGCTTGCAGAGTCAATCCTGATGACCATATGACCCCAAATATGCTCCCCATAAACCCCTGAGCTGCTGAGTTCGATCAGAAACTATTGCGCATCCATTCTCTCGGTTGTTCCACAGCTCGTTTGACAACTGTCCCGAAATCAAGTTGCGAACACATACAGTCCACATACAATCCGAAAAGTTTAAAGTACACTATTCAAGCTTGGTGAACGTGAGTGACTTTAGAAAAATTAATGAGATATACGTATAGCCCTTATACGGTCCGCTAGCGCCAACAATGGCGATATGACATTAGACTATGTAAACATGAATATGTATATTTGATATCTGCGTGCTGAACACTCCTCCTCAAGTCTACTGACTTTGGCGTATGTGATGAGTAATTTACCCTTGCCCTCATAACCCATCAAGTAGCAACTCATGTACGAAAGACTACTGAATATCCACATACTCTAACTCGTCGACAAGCAAGTATACAGTGGTTGTACATTTTTCTACACTTACTATTAGCTTATATCCTACCTGTTTCCCTCAAACATCCCAACATACCTGCGACATGAGTTTCTGCATCTCCCGGTCCTTGCCTGAAACGCAACTCAGGGAGGACGTGCCTATATGTACATTCGGATACTTTGAGCTTGAGCAAACCTTTGGCGGTGCAAAAGGCGTGCCCCAGCCATACTTCTTACGCGTTGCTCCGTAGGGACTTCCACGGACCACCATCTTACAGCCCTCTTTCTCTAAGGTTTGTTTGACCCTCATTTTATTTGAAGATATGCCCAATGATTATGCATCAACGATGGTTGATTATTTCGTATGCCTGTAACTTAATTATCGGATGGTATTTTGAGCAGACCAAAGGGTATCGCATCTCTTGGCCTCTCCTGTATCGGCAATGTAATCTTTTTCTCTTTCCTATGTATTTACATATGCTGCTACCGCGTCTCTCAAGGCACTTTATCACTGTTCACACGCGTGTACATACATACAAGTATACATACATACATATTATCTGTATATGTATCTATTTCCACAATATACCTTTTTATAAATTTTACAAACTGATGACAGCCCGCCAAAACCCTTAACCAATGAAATCTGCATACGTGTTCCATCACGAGTGATCGACTGAAACCCTAAACCCTATCAGCCCAAAACGTTATGCGTTTGACTGTTTATGATTCGAAAAAATGAAGGTTTACGTTCATATAAACGTTAGCCCGTTTATTAACCAAAAAATATATATTACACGTTTACATTCATCTTGTAGACTCTTGCGACAAGGTGATAAATGGATATGTATATACTGCTGCGTTGTGTTGTGCATACTTACACCCCTCTCGTCCCATTCATTAGCTGTCAAAACGCAACCGCACGTCGAGGCTTGTAAACTAGTCCTGTAAGAGGTCCATAAGCGAACAAATTTATATAACACGAACGTGTTGAAAGGCATCGTATGCAAACGAATACTATTAAACTCGGAATCAAGTTTTGCTTATATTATATCGATCTAGCCACATACGGCATACACATTATAGTTTGTACTACACAAGTGGGTTTAGTACAGTTGAGTTATCAACTATGCCAGCTACCGCACCAGTCTCTAGTACGGTTGATGAAGGCAGGCCTGCAAATCCAATGGAAAGTGGTGACAACACAAGTATAGGAAAGGCGCATGGGGGCTTGATAAGTAAAGAACCGAAGCAGAGGGTTGCGTTTACAAGTGAAACGAAAGTCCAAGATGCGAACACACTTAAGACATCGAAGAAGAAAGTAGGTGCACCTGACAGTGCGAAAGCAAAGGCGATAAAAGCTAAGAAGAACGCCGAGAAGGTACTGTTGGGATGTGTATATCATTGCGTTAGGCGATGTATAGTAGTAAGTGGTGTGGTTGTAATAAGCTATTTGTGTGTTTGAGTGACGTTAATATCTATAGTCGTGTTAAACCGTATATATGTTTAAGTATCTCGTTGTCTGGTACACTACAATTGGTGGTAGTGTAGACTAGCAGATTTGAAATAATCCGTTCGAGCCCACTCCCCAGTAGCAGTACATTTTTATTGGCTCCTCGTCACGTACACAGTAGACGAACGACCGTGTTATCAAGAGTTTACATAGTTAGATAGTATTTGCGCACAGCTGGAAACATGATATAGAACAAATCGGCAAGCCTGTGTATCAGCATGCATGTACTTATGTATGCGAATTGCTTTACGCTTGTTGAGTGTGTTCTGACTGACTCTGTCCTTGTGCTTTCGTGCCAAGTACTCTTCCACACATCAAGTTTGACTTGTATTTCAAGACAATTATACCAAAACTGCACACTTTTACTTATGCCAGGCATTACATGCCTCCTCGCAAGTAGGCACCGGGATTAGTTTCTAGATGAATTTCATGTATTGAAACTATCACATGTGGATTTGGCAGTGTCTCGTGCTATTCGTTGTAGCTTTTGCCACTCGCATTGGGCTTCTGGCATCAATCCATGTACCATGTCTGTATGCCTGTAAGTGCATTATACGTATATCTCAACCACGGTGTGTTCACCAAAGTATTCTAGGCGTTAACACCCCACGACTCACAACAAATACACAGTGTCATAACAGTGTGCATGCCCACGGCCCGTTCTGTAGCTCGAGTTGTTTACTTTGCTTTGCTGCTCGACAAAAACTCACCGTATATCAGTGATGTCATCCCCATAGTTATAGATACCCTTGCCTGCTTGTTTGCGCACATCTCGATTTCCTGCTATATACGTATAGACTGCTACTACCAAAGCTCTCCGAGGAGGGCTTGTACTAGCCTAGTAGAGTTATACACGGCACAACGAAGTATGCTAAAACTGAACTATAGAAATCAAATAACTGTTTTGTTTTGTTTTTCATCCCGTCGGAGTCAGTTGCTCGTGTACTGTTTGCGTGTTGTGGCTGTTCTGTTGAGCATGCACTGAATTCGACCAAAGAATGAACGGAATGGATATGCGTATGCTGTGATTACCGTGTAATTTAGACTGAACTACCAGTCCAGTACCAGTGACTAGACGAGTGCAGTGTAGTGACTGGGACTTTAGACCATGTTCGGTGCCGATGTGGGGGTTAGAGCAACCTGCGTGTATCACATGGATATGAAAACCGCGCCTTTCAATACATAGCAAACTGATCGAGCGTACTTTGCCAGGGTAAATGCTGTTGGTGGCTGTTAGTATGTATTTATGTATGTATGTGTGTGTGTATGTATGTATGTATGTTTGTATGTATGAATGTATGTATGTATGTATGTATGCACATATATATATATATATATATATATATATATATATATTATATATAGTATATATATATATATATATATATATATATTATATATATATATATATATATATCAGACAGACGCATTCTATCACTCCATACAATCAGATATAGATGGTCAAAGCGTGCCCTAAAGCAGGTTTATTTTGTATGCTTCCATGTCTAAGTGTAGAGGTCGTTTGATGTAAATTACTCTAGCCGGTGTAGGCTGTCAAGGCAACGCGAATGCCGACTGGTTGTACAAGTGTACGTACAATCCACACAGACGTAACTATCACATGCCCTGCTCAACGAGGGCTGATTCAGCCTGAATTCATACAAGCACTTTTTGATTGTTGAAACTATTTTTGAAGATAAAGGGAGAGCTGATACAGTCTGGTAGTCCTAGAACGCATGTCAAATCAAGTAAATTGCAAACTCAGCTTTTGAAATAGAGTACGGTGCAGTTAGGGTTGTTACATATTGCGTAAACTCATAGGCGTATCTGATATAACACGCGCATTCTCACGTATTATTACTTTCCGATAGTTCGAGCAAAGCGACAGACTGGTGCAGTCTGATCGTATTGATGCGCACATATTGAGGAGGCTGTTTCTAATACATATATTTAAAACATATTATGGAGGCTACCTCTAATATATATATAAATATATTGAGAAGGCTATCTCTTATATATAAAAACTTGTTCCATACAGATTGACAAAGCGAGGGCTGACGCCACCAATGAACAGCGGCGGCAACGGGCGATAAGCGAAGCGTCTAGGTATGATATGACTGACTTTGTTTTACGAGCTGTATGATGTCTACTTTGGCAGGAAAGTATAGCTGTAAAGCTCTGCTCGGTTCGATGCAGAGTTCACTGCATCCGTTGTTCTGGATGGAGTATTGGCGCAGGCGAACCGCCAGTTTTGTACGCACTTCGTTTCTCTTTCTCCTTTTGTGTGTGTGGTTTATGTTATTTGTCATGCACATCCACATGATCGTTTGCTTGAGTGTTCGGATACTCAAACCGTGTTGTGTGTGATGTGTGGTGCTCAGGAGGCGAGATATCGAAACCACCGTGTTTCAGATCCAGGAGATGCTTTTAGAACAGAAGGTCACACCTCTTCAGCTGATACAAGCCACTGACTTCATCACACCATCGGAGTATGCTGATGTGGTGGCCGAGAGGGCTTTAGCGCAAGTGTGTGGGTATCCGCTATGTCTGAACAAGCTGCCGAAGCCGTCCAATAGGGAGAAGGTAGGTACATCCGCTTGTTGTAGGGATAGGAATCGGATGGTTATTCGTCCAGATCTGGTATATTCCTAGTCTGACCTTTATCAGTCCATTGTAATGTGAATAACAGCTATCTAGAATTGAGTCGGGTTTATAATTCACTGTTTAATTGTAAAAAGAGAGTTGCATATGCATACAGTTTTGTACGAAAGCAATACTCGGAACTGGCGAACCAACATCGAGATGAACCGAATGCGCAAACACATACTTCAGACGTGGAAGTGCGCGATGGTGTGAATCAGAGTTGTGAGCGAACACTTACTTCCTACCTTCAACAACACCCACCTCCCAAAGCAATATACGACTCCACCCGAATTGTATGGTGGTGTAAAGCCTCGGCTAGTCTACTCACTCGCATTAGCATTTCAACTGTGGCTCAATCAGCCTCATGCTTCGTATCGTGATAGTACCTAACGCTACCCCAACTGGCGCTACAGGGTGGCAGATTCAAGATATCCATGAAGGACCACCGAGTGTATGATATGGAGCTCATACGACAGTACTGTGCCAATGATTGTCATGTGGCGAGCGACTTCTTCAGTTCACAGCTGATGCCTATGGTAGCGCACATGCGTACCGGCAAGGAATTGGTCAAGGAAAAGATTCAGGTGGGTGCAGTGTGTGGGGAACTGGATCGTACGTACGTCTTCGTCTCACTGCAAGTCTGTTGTACAGAAGTTCTGTACTGTGGACAGTGTGTGACGGGTATGAATTCCTGTGTGCGATTGTCCTGTCTGGATGAGTGGTATCCATCCCCACACGCAGAGGACTGTCCAAGGAGAGTCAAAGCAGATTATGATATTACTTTTTAAGTCTCAACTACGTGTCTATTCGTAAGCTACTTTTGTGATTTGGGGTATTATTAGGGGACATCTCAATCACTAGAGTTTTTTATTAGACTTTAGCAAACCACGCTTCGATCTGCAAAGAAATCATTTGTTATAGTAGAAGGTTGGTAGAATCTCACAATACTCCAGATGGCGTTGAATGGTTCATACACATGTCTTGCTCTGGTGAGATACCGCGGAACACCAGTACGTTTCTTAACCAGTGCCGATAAACCGAAAACCGTTCGCAGGATGAAAAACCTTCACGTAGTCGGTGGGTGGCTAATTGCCAGCTCTCCTTGTCCACTGGCAATTGAATATGATTCTGTCCGTCGCGCGTTCACTTCCCACTCACTCCTGGCGATTCTGGCTCGAAGGTTTAACTCCTGTGCTCCTGTTTTACAGTGTATCTCTAGTGCATCTACTGTACAGTTTAACTCCAGTCCACATACTTTGTCTCCTTCGCTGGCCCCAAGCTTGACTCTAGTGCATCTGTTGAATCCCCTGTCGCCGACAGTTGCTAATGAGAGAACCAGATCTGAAGGCCTTTAGCGCAAACGGTAGCTTTGAAACGGTCGCGCCTCTGATAGGGGCGTCTGGCTCAGCTCTTGTGAGGCTGCATGATCTCAAACAACTGGTACAGCCCACGACGGGCACTACTTCTGGCCACACTGCACAAGCAACAGCACAACAAACGGTACTGACACAGGTGTGGGGGTTTGAGATATACGTTAGTTATCGATTGTTCTGTGGTTTCATATTCCTACCTGCGTTTTCGATTGTATTGTTAAGCTGTGAAGAAGGATTCCAGTCAAAACCTATCGGCTTAGATATGTGTACATATCGAGTCGAATGTACACTGATACGGAGTATTCTGTATCGCCTTCCCCAACCACAGAATAAGGCACAGGACACAGATACGAATCAGCCGACCCCGCTACCCCAACCAACTCCAGCACACACCACTACACAAGCACAGACACAACCAACGCCACAATTACCTTACAAGGCACACCTCACAGCACACTCAGGCGCAGTCACCAAACCACAACACATCGCAGCATTGCCCGTACTGCACGTGGGCGATGGCATCGTGGCTGGATCGGCAACGGCCGATGGCGAGTACTCGGCGGAGCTTGAGCGCATGATGGAGAACATGAACGTGCGCGAGATGTTCAGCGACGCACGTGCCACGCCGATGCCATCTACGCACTACAACACAGACACATATGCGGTGGATGGGTTCTTGCCCGCGCCGAGTAAGGTGACGAGCACCAAGGGACTGGCCGCGCTACAGGACGGGGGGGTTGTGAGTGGTGTGCCTGAGACGGTAGAGAGTAGCGATACGAGGAATGGTAGTAGCCTCGTGGGTGGGGCGGGGGGTTGTGGAGACGTATCGGGCGCTAAGATCACAAGGAGAGAGACAGGGGATGAGGCGGTAGTTGACGACGATACAATCGTCGGAGATGACTATGACTCAATGACCTTCCCTACGTCCGGCGTGGATGATGGTTAGTCTGTTGTGACGTATTATACGTATATGATAGACGAGCTTTGTATGCAGTACACTGGTTCATCGTATGTGTGGTGGTGGGTTTGTTGGTTTGTTTGTAAGGTGAAATACTATGTACCGTTGCGGAGTACGGGTAACCGGCTGTCTACTATATACACAACACTCCTGCATTTTCCGCCTTTGCCTCCAATCAGATATGTACATGGTATTTGTACCCAATTCGTAGGTGAGACTAGGTCGAGCAAAAGTCTTGTCATCCTGTATTTCACTATGCACGCTCTCGGATGATTGGTCTGTGCTGTACAAAGACAACCCTAAACTCTAAACCCTAAAACCCCAAAACTCTATACCCCTAAAACACTTGCAAAAGACAACGACCCGTATAGCAACTATTTTGTCTAAACCGCTTCTGATTATTGTGCACCTCTGTAGTAACAGACGCACTCGACACCGAACGCAAATCGGTCCAATTCGACCCGTCCGTGAAAGCAGCACCGGCGAAGCAGATGCGCAAACACAACACGCAGCTGAAGGCTAAACTGTCGTTGTTTCAGCGCGCCTGGATGATGATAACGGACTGGAATAATGCAGATGTCCGCTTATATTTGCAGGTATTGTAGCGATATGTATGTGCGTATGTCTCTTGCCGGTTTGTGCACATGTATCTGCAGGTGTTGGTGTGATGCGCTCGTTGTGTATCTTGTGATCTCTCGTTCGCGTGTCAACGGATATTAAGGGAATGTTCTTCTTAGTTTCGGATGGTGCATCGGCCTGTGGTGACGGTTTTATCGGCGCGATTGAGCAGTCGTGGCATTCTTTCATATCCTTTTTCAAGTACACCTATGAGATTGGAAGAGGAGAATTGTATACCAATAGTTACCTACTACTGGCGTCCTTGTCTAGTAGGGACGGTATCAGTGAATGCGAACGGTAGCGAATGCTAGCTTCACTAGCCGCATTTGCATGGATTGGCCTGATTCTTTCATATGCTTTCTTTCTGTACGACATTTGGACTCACAAGTGCTTGATGCTTGAAAAATACGATTCATTTGCCTGTATGTACGCTTCCTTAACTGTTTCTGCTTTAACCGGTGGGGTAGGGTGTCATGGATCAAAGTGCAATGAGCAAGGACGGGGTAGATGAAGATGAGTTCGACCCAATGACTGACGACTGGGAAGTCATGAAGGCTACAGCGACCAAGAAAACGACACCAGAGAAAGTAGAGACAGGTGTGTGGTGTATGATAGCTTGCAAATGGACACGCATGTAGATGCAAATACGTTTATGCAGCGACGGAAAGACAACGATGCATACAAGCACACTCGCATATATCGACGTATGTATATGTGTATGCAAATATGCATGGTACGAGTATACTGTTTGTGAACGGATATTATATAATCTACGCTCTGTGGATGTGTACGCCGGGGGTTTTATGAGAGTCTCTAGTTGCTCGCTCGCATTAACATCGGCTGTAGATGCTGCATGAGTGAACAACTAGCTATCCCAAACTCGTGCTGGACGGTTGTGTGCGGACGAGTTTTTGTAGCGTACGGATGGCGTGCGTTATAGTACATTTGTAGTCATCACATCTTATTCGTAAGCGTATATTGCTCGCGGATACTACGGAAGGGCGCCCGAGATGGCGCGCGACCGTCACAAATACGATGCGCATGTAGCTGTATACATTCCCGCGTTACCGGTGACAGGACGTTCAACATTTTCTGCGGCATGCGTATACCCAATGACTAGTTGGGGCTAAACGTCTGGACATTTGATTTTATTGTAGAACGAAACTACCGAACTGAAAACTACGATCCAGTGGCCACCCGGCACGCGATTATTCAACGACAGCTGGGCGTGGTGTAAGTCCAGTGGTATTGCACGTCTAAACTTGTGTATGCATCGAATGTCTATTATTTAATTTTAGTTTGTGCATACATTGAATCAAAACTTTTTTTGGTTTTCTTTTTGGTTGTGGATTGAAGCTAAATACTGTAGTCGATGTGAGGTGAATGTGTGTTGTGCTCTTCTTAAGGACACGCACGGTGGTCACCATTCCTCAACATCTCGCGCGTGACCGATGCAAAGCCTTTGTAAAGTGCAACCACTTGACATAGCCGCCAAACGGAATAGTGTCCGTATTTGAGGGATCACCCTTCTACTCGTGAAAGGTTAAAGGTCATCCTATTTTCATCTCGATCATATGCTGGATGTGTCTGATTCCCAAGTCCGTATACAACATACCACGGCTCTAAAGTCGACATTCTAACTTCATCGAGTGTTTGCACCCATGCAGCTTCAAGGCTATCCTCGCAGGCAAGGGGATCCGAGGTTGTACGTATCCAAACATCCGGAAGGATCTGGGTGATGTGACCCGGCGGTTTACAGTATCCAGGTCGAGATGTGTGTATCTGACTTCCCCTCTGGATCAGTTAGTTGCCCTTGTGCTCATAGAATCGTAAGTACTGTGTGTCAGCCACCTCGCGCTGGCGGTGTGGTTGTCCGGTCTTTTGAGAAGTGGCGTAGTCACTGTATTCTGGTTAGTCTATCGATGCTGTGCTTGTGCTCTGATAGCAGCAGTCACTTACTGATACTCGGCCTTGTCCGTGTCGTGATTTGCGTGTTGTGCGAGGGTGTAAACGTACTTTATTCTATATCACATGTAACAGTGCCATATGCTACTATATAAAAACGTACTTTATTCTACATCACAGGCAGCAGTGCCATCTGCTACTTTATACAAACGTACTTTATCCTATATCACATGTAACAGTGCCATATGCTACTATATATAAACGTACTTTATCGTACTTTATTCTATATCACAGGCAGCAGTGCCATATGCTACTTTATATAAACGTACTTTATTCTATATCACAGGCAGCAGTGTCATATGCTACTTTTATGCGTTTTCATAACATTCTTAATTTTTGCCCGCGGCTTCAGATATCCATCCCATCACACTTACATTTGTCGGTCAATTTTGTGTCACATGCGTATGAATTGAATACTACTGCAATAGTCTCCGAGTGCTTAGTTTAGACCGCCGCGTTCGTGTTTAAAGCTGCTTCCTTCATACACTTGTTAAGCGCCATTTCTCTCAAGTACTCGTTAACCAGCGGAGCAGCCTCTGCAGTAGTCTTACTACGTTTCTTATTCTTTTGTCCTGACTGTTATATGCTTTGCTATTTACAGAATGGCCCTACGGAATCCGTTTGTCGCGAGTGCGTGCAGTGGCCCAACTGGCAGTCCTTTCGCTGCTATGGCGCAGACGTTGTTTGAGATCGACAAGTATCGTTTCGAAGATTTAGTATCGATATTACTCCCTCACACGTAGATAATTAGCTCAAGTAAATACAATACACTATTAAGCTGTCCTGGCACGTACGTCTTCGTCTTAATAGTTGCGAATAATTACATATGCCTGCGATTAGTAGGTAACATTACTATACGTATGCATGCGATTGTAGTGTTGTATATGGCTTGGACAAATGCAGAGGGGAACGGTGAGAGCCCCGTTGGCACATATATATATCTATATATATATATACATATATATATATATATATATGTGTGTGTGTGTGTGTGAGTGTTAGTTTTGTATGTATATGCATATGTATATTATATGTATAT